GTAGCCTAGAATGGGTCGTTCCCAATATGGAACGGGCTGTTCCAAACTACTAAATTGACCTGTAAATCATAGTTGAGAACGAGCCATTCTGGATGGAGTATGGGTGGATGGAGTACGGGCCGTTCTGTATGGAGAACGGGTCATTTTGGATGAGTCCCAGAACGGACCGTTCTAATTTCAGAACGGGTCGTTCTGCATTTAATTTTTGCACATGATGAAAGGGTGCAGAACGGGTCGTTCCGGATTCGGAACAGGCCGTTCTAGCCACTCCTGAACTTCTATAAATAGGGGTTGTGTGGTTGAGGAGAAAGTGAAGTTTTTAGAGAGAAGTTTAGGGAAAAAAGGACTTTAGGTCTATGAACTCCTTTCTCTCCCAAATTTCTCTGTATGATTCCTTTTCTCCTCTAGATCACTAATGCCTTCTGTCTTTTCTTGAAATTCAGATTAGGAAGCTTGCTTTGGGAGGATTAAAGTTCCGGGTTGAGCTTCGAAAGGGAATTCTACTTCTTCTTAGTTATTGGCTATTTTGAGTCAATCTTTAGGTGAAAGAAGTTAGCATGGTTGTTGTTTAAGTTGCATGTGAGTTTAGAAACTCAATTGATGCATGAAAGTTGAGGATCCATGGCTGGATTGGAGAATTCGCTCATTTTTCAGGGTTTTGGGAAAAATGGAGTTTTTGGTGAATTTGATGCATCAGATGGGTGCATGTTGATTTTGAGTTTGTTTTGTGTTGTATGGAGCCTATGCATTGTGTTTTTGTTTTATATTTGTATATGGTTGGATTTGTTAGTTTGGATGAGAGTTTTGAACTCTCTGAGTCAACTATTGATCCAAATTTTAAAATATTAATAATATTTATCTTCATGTAATAGAAAAATTAAATTTATTTATTTATAAAAATTATAATGATAATAATAAAATTTGAACCTATAACTTTGTAGTTATTATTCTAACTCTCTTATCAAATACTAATAGTTTCCAAAAGAATTGATTAATTGTGTAAAAACTTTTACACCCCAACTCATTTGTGTGTTTTCTTTATAGTTCTGAACTTCAATCCCACGAGTCCCATAAACATTTTTTTCTTGACAAATTCAATAAAGTTGTGAGAGTTGTTATATAAAGTCGTGGTCTTGAGATAAATGCTTTTTAGTGTTAGATTAGGCTATGGACTTGTCTACAAACTCATGCACATTTCTCGTTTAGTGATGTACATGCAAGTTTAGCCCATTCTGAGATTATTACGGCTAAAATATTCTGGTTGATAGTTTTTCTTCAATCAAAATAGACTTATGGTATATACAATTCTATTTTATGATAAGTACACATTTTTCTATATAAAAAAATATTATATTTTTTATTTTTAGGTATCTAATATTCAATTTAGTATCTTTTTATTTTTTATTTGTTACGTACATCTTTCTTTTTCTTTGTTTGACTCATGATATATATATATATATATATATTTTAATAAAAAAAATTCTTGAAATATCATAAACGTAAAAAAGTAAGGAGAATATTATAAATTAAATAATAGAGAAGTAAAATTAAAAAAAAATACAGGATAAAAAATTAAAGAGATTTAAAAAAATATATACTTATAATAAAAAGATGATATATATATCATGAACCTCAAAATATTATAGAGACCTAAGAACAAATCAAGCCCACGTACATACAACAATGCTCCAGATAAAGATCCAAAAACTTACTGTAATTGAATATATATTTGTGTATTATTTTGATATATCTAAATTCTTTTAAAATTTTCAATTACGAAAATATTTAAATTTAGACAGAAAGAAGATTTACAACACAAACATAACGAGAATTTCATATTTATGATATTCTATTTTAACAACTATGACTTATTTTGACATTTATTATATTAAATAATAAAAATATATTTTTAATTAAAATTAAGAAAGTAAAAAGTCAACTAAGGTTGAGATTCATTTACCTTAATTTTTTTTTCAAAAATTGGTTTTCCACATTTTCTTTTATTCATGTACTTTTTTACTTATTTATTTATATCGTTAGCATGTACACATAACATTTAAACCCAATTCATTTTTTTATTGTAACTAGTACAATATGTATATTAAACTGAGTTTATCCTCTATCTTTTTACATTTTATTTTTTTATTTAGATAAAAATTATAGAAATATAAATTCAAAATGTCTCAACCTCACTAATAACAATAAAAAATAATTATAAGAACAATAACATTAAATAAAAAACAAATATAATTATAAAAATAACAATAATTGGCAATAATAATTAACAACAAAAATAACAATCAATCCTTATGTATTAAATACAAATGACTATCTACTAATTTTTGTTGATTTAACTGATGTTGATGTTGATATTGCAGTTGGTTCTCGAGACTCAAGTCTAAGTTCAAATCTTGGATTTGATGAAAAAATAACTCTGAGAGAGATAACATTAATGTAGGCAAGGTCTCAGGGTTATATATTTATTATTTTATGGTGATGTTTATAAAAATTTATTTTTATCCCAATAATCCTCTCTCTAAACAAGGAACTTAATCGTCCATGCAATAAAATCTATTTTACATTGGATTTTATTATTGTTTGTATGGTATGAGTTATATTGAAGTTATTGAATGTCATCAAATACAACCTGCTTCTGATTCTGATGCCAATGATAAAGTTATGTTATGGTATTTGTTTAAAAGGATATATTTATCAAGAAGAGAGGGTTTTAGGGTTTTGCACATACAACTCTACAATGGTAAAATATTACCCACTTTGAACCTAAGTCTTCATGATTTTGTTTTTGCTTATTACCTAAAAGATTTGTCAACTATTAGAATATGTGTGTATTTTATGAACTCTTATTTCTCTTTTTATTTTAATGATTGTTGGGACTTTCGTTGTATCCTAACACACACAAAAGAAAATACAAATGATTATCTTGCACAAGAACCTTTTTAGGAACAACTCCTCAACCAAGTATTTTTAAGGATTCTTTTAACTTCTTATTTAATTTAACCTTTTATTTATCATATATTATTAATTAAAATTTAATATTTTTGAAAAAATTATTAATAATTAAAATAATCCCACGTTACAATATAAATCTTTTACGTTAAGTAGAAAATATAATTCATATATTTTCAAATATAATATTTATTTATATATAATTTATTATAAAATTTAATCATATATAATAGATATTTAACTTGTGAAATGTACAAACTAAATCCCGAACCACAAACTAATAATAGGGTATATTATCCATTTTCATGCACACATTTTTTTTTAAAAAAATTATATCTGTTACCATCTCTTAAATCTCTCTTTCGCTCTCCATCATTTTTTGCTTAACTATTCAAAAATGATACTTACAATCAAAAACTGGTCAGTAACCACTTTCTTTTATTTTTTTACTTTTAAAAAATACACAAGACACCAAGTACCTTTTTTTTTACAACAATAAAGTAAGAACAATAAAAAAAGAATAACAACAAAATAATATATACTAAAAATATTACATAGTAATGAATATTTGTTAGTAATTCGGTATTAATAAACATAATCAAAATATTAATAGATAATTAATATAAATTCACAATGAATCAATAATATTAAATAGTATTAAATATGTTTTCAACTCTTGAATTATTGTTAACTTTTACAATCTCTAAACAAGTTTTACTTATTTTAATGTTAGGGAAAAAAATGTCAATAAAAAGAGTTCAAAAATTAAAATTAAAAATCAACAAAAATCAACAAAAGTTAAAAAAAACTAAAAGTTAGTAACAAAATTGTTAAGAGAGTAAACATAAAGTTCAAAAAAGGTTCATGAATCAAAAAACATATTTAATCATATTAAATAATAAAATATAAAGTAATATTATTAAATTAATATTGATAAATGTAAGTTATCATACATTAATGTACTTTCATATAAATAGAAGTATATTAAATATGTTATAAATATAATAAAAGAAAGTTAATTAGAAATATAAAATAAGGTTTAATATATATATATA